TCGAGCAAGAAACTGAAAGTAGATAACTTAAGTCGTTGTACTTTTTCGTATTCTCCGAGTATTTCTACTCAGGTTCCGACAATTATGACGGAAACGCCGACGTCGGCAGTCGGCGGTCGGCACGAAAATGAAAGTGCCGACAAAGCCGACGGGAGAAAAAGGTGGCGGTGGCAGTCGGCCAGGCCTCGCACTACGAACATTGACTAATACAGGTCAGCCTAGCGATAGCATCGGCCGGCTCGCGGGTCGGGGTCGCGATTGTCGGATTTCAGACGATTGTCGGCAAACATGTAGGTCTAAAATAAATTTCATGATAAAGATAATATAAAGCCTAAAAAGTGCTTTTTATTAGCTTTTAAATTGGAAAGCCTAACTGGTGAACATGGTTTCCCCGTCTCTCTCGCGCAGTAGACTTTCCCCAACCTGTTTCTTTATAATGACGTCATGGAATTTTCCACTCGACGCCTGCTAGCCCGACCTACTCAGCGGAATGCCCGAATGCAGTTGAGTCTGGGTGGTGTTTTGCAATGGTATGCAAAATGTGTATGCAACATACATTAACCCCTTCACTGCTACGACGACGTAGTACCTACGTCTCCCTGAACGCGCCTCTGTGTGCTACAGCGACGTGACTACTACGTCCTGCATTATCGCTGTTTTGTTTCGTTCCCTGCTAAAGTCTAATTTGCTTTTATAATATTTAGAGTAGGTTCCCTTGAAAGCTCATTTATTCTACGAGTTAGAAATCCACTGTTCGTGGGAAAATTTCTGCTACTGGCCTAGTTCTAGCGGGAAATAGAAGCGTCCTTTCAGAGTTTTCGTCTGCTCTAGTACGCACCGTATCGAACGCTCAGCTCAGCTAACGAAGATGGCTAACCGTCCGCGGAGAATGCTAACTACACTACAAGCTGTCCAAGAGGTCTACCGCGATCTAGATAGCGGAGATGAAGATTTGGATGATGATGCCAGTCCTAACTGGAACGGACATGATTCTGATGATGTTGATTCCAGTTCTGATCATGATCAAGAACAAGAGGAAGAACAAGCCGATGAGCGCGAAGGTAAACATTCAACAATATGATTCTAGACTAGATCTAGATCTAGATCTACATGTTTATTTTTCCTGACTGTTCTGTTTTGCTCTCACACCTCTTTCCCTTATTTTTTTTGTTTGGGGGGGGGGGGGGGGGGGGGGTGAAACACTGCAGATGATTTTGCCTTCTTATATTATTGTTGTTTGTTTAGATTATGATGTCATTTTTTTTAAGTGACCGTACCGCTACCCTGGCCTCAAGTCTAAAATCCAGAACTGAGTTTATTGAACAATTTGTTCTTATCTTTATAAATTATGCATCTTGTTAGCACTGATAACACTAGCTTTGGCCTATCAGTTTTTTTCTAGAAATCTAGATCTTAGATCTGCCTGGTTACTACTAACCAAGAAGGAAAGTGGTAGATGTTCAGGGGGAAAAAAAGCCATTTATTCTTCTTACAGATGACCGATTGCGAGGAATATTTGTAAAAAAAAAGGGTCTTTCTCATTTCTGAGAGATCAAGATCTAGATCTAGATTCTAGCCTGGTCTGAATGATTCATGCTCACTTATGAAATAAACAAACAATGATAGTAATAACAATGAAATACAGTAAATAATTGTAAGATGATTTATTTTCACCCAGAAACAAGGTTTGAGGATGTCCCCGGTCCTTCTACATCTGCAAGTAGAGGCAGAGGTCGAGGCAGAGGAAGAGGTAGCGGCAGAGGAAGAGGCAGAGGTGCAGGGGGCACAAGGAGAACCACCACAAACACCCGAGAGTGGACCAGAGATGTTGGGAACTTTCGCCCAGTGATTGCAGACTTTACTGCTGCCCCTGGCATAAAAGTTGATGTGAGTAACTTTACCCCCTCCCAGTTCTTCTCCTTGTTTGTGGACGATGATCTACTCCGCTCTTTGGTCATTGAGACCAATCGTTATGCCGAGCAGTACTTGGCTGCGACGCCCTTGAAACAGCACTCTAGGGCTAATCAGTGGCACAATACTGACGTGACAGAGATGAAATGTTTCATCGGTGTGTTTTTATTGATGGGTATGATCAAAAAGCCTGAGATAAATTCATACTGGTGTACTGACCCTCTCTTTACAACCCCTGTCTTCAATGCTGCCTTGTCTAGAGATAGGTTCCTGCTGTTGCTGAAATTTCTCCATTTCAGTGACAACACTAATATGCCCAATGTTCAAGACAGGAATAGGGACAGGTTGTACAAGATCAGACCTGTTCTGAACCATCTCTTCGAAAGGTTCCAACATGTTTACGTTCCAGACCAGAACGTTGCCATTGATGAGTCCCTTATGCTGTGGAAAGGTCGGCTTTTGTTCAAACAATATATACCGCTGAAAAGGGCTCGGTTTGGAATTAAGTCATTTCTTTTGTGTGACGGCAGTGGTTACACATACCGTTTTCGCATCTATGCAGGAAAGGACGAGAGTACTGAGGCCATTGATGAAATGCTGCCAGACGAGTGTGCCACCTTTGGCAGACCTGCCAAAGAGGTTGTCTACCTCATGCTCCCTCTGCTGAACAAGGGGTATAAACTCTTTGTGGACAACTGGTACACTTCTGTGGACCTATTTTCCTTTCTCCACAGCCAACAAACATCAGCTTGTGGCACAATGAGAAAAAACAGGACCGCTCCTCTGCTCAGAGCGCTTCATGTTGAGAAGGGAGCTACTGAAAGCTGTGCCAGTGGCCACCTTCTTGCTCAAAAGTACCACGACAAGAGGGAGGTATACATGTTGACCACATGCCACGAGCCTCAAGGGACCACAGAGAAGCCACCCTCTGTGTTGTCATACAACGTAAACATGGGCTCCGTAGACCGCCATGATCAACTTCTCCAGCCATATGAGGCCACGCGAAAAACACTCAAGTGGTACAAGAAGTTGTTCGTGCGCATGGTTCAAGTGGCAATGCTCAATGCCCACATCCTGTATGAAAAAGCAGGGAATAAGTCAACTTTCCTTGATTTCCAGAAAGATGTTGTTTCTGACTGGATCTTTGGGGATGATGGTGCCCCTAGTGTCACCGATGATCATGCGGTCCGACTGTATGACAGGCACTTCATTGAAGTTCTTCCCCCAACTGAAAAAAAAGTTCATCCCCAAAAGAGGTGCCGTGTCTGCACAAAGAAGGGTTTGCGAAAAGACACTAGGTATTACTGCCCAGACTGCCCGAGTAAGCCAGGCCTCTGTCTGAGTGGGTGCTTCAAGAAGTACCACACAGAGAGGTTTTACTGGCGGAACTAGGAGTGAAGTCCAGTTTCGCTAGTGATTGTAAATAGTTGTGTACATATCTCTGTGCTTTATTTTTTCTGTGGAATTGTGTGTGCATATAAGTGTAGTGTGTTATTATTTCTGTATGGATTACCCTACAAGTTGAATACCAGTTCCAGTCTTCCCTACTAGAGCAAGGTAAGAAAACATTTTTTTCCCTATATTATGCAATCTTCTACTCCTCTCAAAATCTTTTTCCTTCCAATAATCCCCCTGTACATAGTCTACTTGGAAAGACCATTCATTTCTCTACAAGAAAATATATACTTTGTTATACTTTTCACTTCATTCAAGAGCACCAAAGACCAATAAGGGAAGTCACCTATGGTTTCATGCGGTACCTGGAAATTTTTCCAGCATATATGGGAAGTCAAAGTGGGCAGCAGTGAAGGGGTTAATAAAATTTGAAGACAATAAAGGAAAAAGGTTGTCAACCAAGGTTGTGAAAATAAAGAAATAAAAAATTCCACCAAATCTTGTGTAATCTTGTGCTCAAACTTCGGACACAAACAGCACCATAACCAAGTAACCTACGTGTTTTCTTTTTCGCATGCGACTAGTGGACCTCTTTTCTCATTGGCTGCCAAGTTTCACTTTCATCCATTGAGAAACAAGCCCGTACGAGTGAATGAAAATAGGGCACCGTGAGAAAACGGGTCCGGTAAAACAAGCCCGCAGCGCCTATACGGGAGTCCCCGATTTCGGTCACACTCATCGGCGCTACATGATGGGCCTTGCGCCTTGCTACTTTCGGTGTTGGACGATCAAATTGACCAAAACAAAATTTAGTTTAAAAATGATGTAAAAAAACACAAAAGTAAATTAATTTTCTTGTCGTCTACAAAGATGCTATGGCTATTTAACTTTTCGAATCGAGCCGAACTACGCTGGTCGCCATTTTGTTTTGCCCAGAGCCGGAAGTTCTCGCGCTAGGCCACTCCTCTCTCTCTCCACTGCCCACAGACAAAATTGCAAGCTTTAAGGCTTCTAACAGTAGTAACACAAGAGCGCTGGAACGTTTGTTCACGGCATTCACGGCACAGAATTCTACAACAATTCTCAGAATTCTGGTTATCACAGTGAAGAATTCTGTGGTTCAGGGTGAACGCTACTACACTGGTTGGCCTCCTGGCAGGCTATAACGGTGAACGCATACTGGGTGAGAATAGCCAAAACGCTCGCCTGCGCTAATCTCATCTTTACTAAAGACTACTTTTTTACTAAAAGCTTACAACATTAGCCTAGATCTAGATCTAGATCTAGATCTAGGTTTCGACTTCGTTTGTTGAGTTTGATTCCAACAAATTTTACAAAGTACAAAGTAAAGTGAACTCTGTTCAACATATCTAATATCTAGAGTCTAGATCTAGAATTATAGACTAGATCTAGGCCTACAAAAAAGTCAGTATTACCTGATGATAGAAAAGATTTAAAACAAAATGAGACAGGTTGTCGACGCAACGCTTTGTTTGAAATGCCAGTTGTTACACAAACTACCAGCATGCGGCCATTTTGTATTGTTATTTACTGTGGTGGTGCCTCTCCGTTCATAGGAATAGTTAACAGCGCATATTATACAAAAAAGGCCTAGCCCAAATGTAAATGTAATTGATAATCAATTATTAGCTCAAAGATCACATTATAATTTGTTGACTTTCAAACTTAAAATCAACCGTATTACTTCATCGTAGAGTCTGATATTTGAAAAATTTGAATCACGAAATATTTAATAGGCCTATAGGCCACACATTTTTTTAGTGTGTATTTTCAGGTGATATGCGAGAAAAAGACAAAAAAAGCAAGATTGGTTGGTCAACAAAGACATGATACATCTCAACCACAAAAATAATAACATTAAAATACATCATGTATAGATATACATGTATGCTTACATGTACGTGTTCACCGTGTATTATACCACAGGAATCTGTGGAAGAAAATGACACCCCCCCCAAAAAAAAAAAGTTAAGAAAGCCAATAAAGAAACTAGGCCTACATGTATAATAGATCTAGATCTAAAAGACCCACACGTGGCGTCGCGTGAGTTGTGGTGCATGATTGGAAAGTGAGCAAATGGGCAATAGGCTTAGGAGCTACTATTAAGATTTCTGTAGAAAGTCAATTAGAATCTGCAGGGTATCCCGTAATCGACATATATATCAATATTTACAACTGTTTCTAGATGAAACCGCATAAAAGCTACAATAAAGTGAAACAATACTAACAACTCACTATAATAAAGACTATGCACAATCTGAGAGGAAAGCGTAAGAAGGGATTCGAAGACCTAAGATGACATGGAGGCGAGCGGTATCAGCGGAAATTGAAAAAGCGGGGACATCATGGAAACAGATAGAAAAGGATGCTCAGGACAGGCCTCGCTGGAGTAATGTTGTTGATGGCCTGTGCCATACTGGGAGTTAAAAAGAGCAAGAGAGAGAGACAATCTGAGATGATTTAAAGATGTTTAATTACTTCGTGCAGCACCAGGATTTGTAACACAATAGAGGGATACAAAACAGTTTCTATACCCATTCTTCATTGAGTAACGGTAGACTCTACTAGTGTAGTAGATAGGCTCGCCGAAACTTGGATCAAATTTTCAGCTTGCACCAAATTGGTGCTGCGAAGAGCAGTTTCATGCACCTTTCTTCTTGTGCGGGAAGAACGATGCCTAGATTTCTCTAGCCTACAGTGACAAAAATAACTTTGGTGTAAAGATTTTGCTTGCTCCCAGCAGACTCTAGATCTACCGCGACGAGCATAAACCATCCTCGCCGTCTGTCTCTTCACTGGCACAGCCAGCTGGTGAAGGATGGCAAATAGAAGTAGGCCTATCTACTAAGTAGTGGTGTGCGAGTAAGCGAAAAATCTTGGTCGAGTAATGATCGGTTAAATGCAAAATTGTTCGGTTAACCGATGAAATTGACCGAAAAAATTTTTCTCGACCAGGAAATCTAGATCGAGCAGGGGTCAAAAGTCATCGCAGCTGCGCTGTAAGCACGCATTTTTCAGCTGATGTCTGGATCTAAAAACAGCTTTTGGTCTTCGTCGCTTCGCGCGGTATAAAAATAAGAGTCTAGATCTAGTTGTACTAACTTGTAGATCTAGAAGAAGCGTGCAAAGTTAGTTAATTTGTTTAATATGTATTTTTATTGCTCCTTTCGGGAAGATTGAAGAATACCGGACCACTCGTATTATTGCGAGAGAATGGGGGGGGGGGGGGGTGAGGAAGGGATTTGGGGGGGGGGGTGTCTAAGCTTGGCCTACCTGTGTGAGAGAGAAAGTGGATAAAAACTGGGGAAAATCATGGATTCCTAAGGTTGTCGAGACATAGGCAAAAGCTGTCCTAATCCGCCGGTCCGGTAGGCCTATTCTTCAATCTTACCTCCTTTTTTTTGCTTCTTCGCCCAGATCGAGCATATTTTATGAATAGGTTAGGCTAATTCATTGTGCTGGTATTTATTCTATGTGTTTTTCAAGAAAAGTAAAGATCTAGACACAGAAACAAAAATCTGTACAGTAATACAGAATAACAAGTTGCAGATCAAAGTCGAAGCGTTGAAATTAATAATAATAATAATAGATAGCATTTGTATAGCGCATATCCCCGCTCAACAGCAGGCTCTATGCGCTTTAACACTATATTATTACCCCAGCAGACCATAGAACACTCCGAAACATTCTCAGCTTCCCGGGAAGCATACAGTGCGAGCAGCCATTTAAGCGCTCATACACTAACAAACTGACAAGATCTTTCGCTGTCTATAGCCGGGTACCCATTCCCACCTGGGTGAAGTGAGGAAAATTCGTGTAAAGTGCCTTTCCCAAGGACACAACGTCGGGCCCTTGACGGGATTCGAACCCACGACCTTACGGTTGCGAGTCCGAGAGCCTAACCACTAGGCCACCGACGCCACTGTAAATTAATTTAAGTAAAAAGAGGAAAGCATCCAAATTACTAAGATTGAGAATGTGAACAAGTCTAGAGATGGGACGAAATATTCTGGCTTACGAAGTCAGAATGAGAGCAGAGAGAAATGAAGAGGAACTGAAATAAAGACTTGGTTTGTATAGATGCCAGTGGGTCACTGGTTTGCATGATATAAATCAGCTGATCGGACAAAGTAAAAACAACAACAACACTGATCTAGCCTACAGACGATGTGTCTCAAGGTCATGTAGGCCCAGACGTAGATCTAGTAAGCCTACGATTCTGCAGCTGGCATGTTGGACGGGCCTGGGTTTATGGGTTTTAATATGTTTTTATATTGTTGTTGCTGTACTGTCAGTAAATCATTTAGAAAATGGTACCATATATGCTTTTTGAAGAGAACGACCTAGCGCGAAAAGATATGATGAAATGACCCTCATTATAAACCTGGCTAGATCTAAAAATAAAATGTTCCGTTATGAATATTGATAAGTTGACACACTTGTCTCGCTTTCGTGCTGGTGGCGCGAGACATTTGCCAATTTGTTGGTTTTCCAGTCAGGAGCACAGCCATTTCAATGTCTCTTACCCTCAGTGCAGTTTAAAAAAACCGCGACAGTCTAAAAATAAAGAGTGGCTGCTGGGTTTTGACATTCAACAAGATTCCCAATTGTGTATCTGATAGTAAATGTACTCTTGGGCAGCTATTTTATAATTGAAATATACGACTTTATTCTATTTTGATTAATGCTATGACGTTAAAATATGTTTGGCGTTTGTTTGTCAGCAACGAGTAATTTTAGCGTTTGATTGCTGTTTGTTCGAACAAGTTTCATCATTGCCAGTTTGAGGTTTACTCAGGAGCCAGGAGCACCATTATCCCAAAAGCCTAAATAACGAACACAAAACCGCGGCAGTCAACAATTGAAAAGGACACTAGCTTTTGTACTTAATAATGAGCTCCCAGTTTTACTATTATATTAAAAATACATCTTACAGAATTATAACTGTTATTTAATTCTCTTTAAAGCAAGAAGTTTGCCGTATTTAAAAATGAGGCAAAGATAAATATTACGTTTCGCGTTTGTTTGATAGTGACAATTAGTTTTGGCGTTTGATTGATGTTTGTTCGAGGAAGTTTCATAATTGCCTGTTTGAGAGTTACCCAGGAGCACCATCCTCCGGAAAGCCTAAATGGCGAACATAAAAACACGACCGTCAAAAACTGAAAATGATACAGGCTTTTATATTGGATAATTATAACAGATTCTACTATGAGGATAAAAATACATTTTATGAAATCGTAAATGCTTATTGCACTTTGTTAAAAGTTTGAAGTTTGCTGGTTTTCAAAACGATGCAATGACAAAATATGGGTTTCGCGTTTGTTTGATAGCGACAATTAATTTTGGCGTTTGATTGATGTCTTGCTCGGTCAAGAAACCATTTTGGTCGATTTACTCGACCAAGAATCTTGCTCGGTTAATCGAAAAATTTGATCGATCAATTGCACCACTACTACTAAGCCTAGACCACTGACTGGTTTAGAACAATAAGAAAAGAGGGGGGGGGGGGTGAAGGCCAGGGTCAGGTGGAGCGCTTGCACCAATAGCACCAATGGCGCCACGCCACTTATTTTAATTCAGTTTAGATCTAAATCAGAAATACACTAGAGGTGCATTAAGTGCAATCGAGACGGCAATCAGGTGTGCCCAAGTCACAACCCGTTTATTTCATGGTGAATACAAGTGTGTTTTGAAACAAATTTTCACCGAATAATACGCTATTTAAGCTTTATCTACTTATCCACCAATTGACTTACCTAAAAAAAAAAAAACACTAATTGGGGTCGTTTGTTTTCGGTTGTTTTTTTTGTTGTTGTTGTTTTTTAATTAGTGCAGTTTATTGCGGCACACAATTACAGTGTGTGTTCTTAGAATAGGCCATGGTTGCTGGGTTTTTTTGTGTTTTTTTTTTGGGGGGGGGGTTGGTTGTTGTTGTTTTTTTGGTTTTTTAGTTTAACCGCCGCAGTTCCTGTTCTCACGGGTTGGTCAGCTGTACACGTACTATCTCGTTTACATTGCTAGGTCTCTGGTTCCGCCCAGTATTATTATAGTGCAAACTTTAACGAGGAGAGGGAAGCACCCAGTTCGGCTGTCAGGGTCTGGCCTAAAACAATACACCCCCTCCTCCTCCTCGCCCCTTTTCCTTTTCCACCTTCACCCCAGCTAGACTCTAATTTCTATAATATGTAATTAGCATTTAATTATGGCGCAGTTCTTTTCCAGAGCCGTCTGAGTCGGCCATCCACATTATAATACAGGGCGGGCCTTGAGGCCTCGCCACTCGCCTCACATAGCCATTCTCGGTCCACGACACAAGCTTCTATTGTGTCCATTTAGGATGGCACCACCATGTAATATGAATGTTGTTGTGGCAAGGTTAGCAATTTACATTATTTTAAAGAAGAAAAGGAAGAGACGAAAACCTGAGATAGGCCTAAGGCGTAAAAAATGGCTACTCCGTAGAAATACGACACGTTCACATACAAATCTGTTGAAACAACTGACTGATTACTTGCTGGTTTAAACATTAGAGAACTAGATCTAGATCTACCTCCGCATGGATGAGAATAATAATAATATGAATACATGTGTAGATCTAACCTACTACAAACTCCTACAAATGATGGACTCTCTCTCTCTCTCTCTCTCTCTCTCTCTCTCTCTCTCTCTC